GATCGGGGGGAGCGCCCCGGGATCGGGATCAGAGCCGGGATCAGCCCCGGGACCGGGGGGAGAGGGGGACACCCCGGGATCGGGATCAGCACCGGGACCGGAGGGTGGGGTCAGCACCGGGATCAGGGGGGAAACACCCCGGGATCGGGGTCAGACCCGGGGTCAGCATCGGGATCGAAGGGGGAACATCCCGGGATCGGGGGGAGCACCCCGGGATCGGGATCAGAGCCGGGATCAGCCCCGGGACCGGGGGGAGAGGGGGACACCCCGGGATCGGGATCAGCACCGGGACCGGAGGGTGGGGTCAGCACCGGGATCAGGGGGGAAACACCCCGGGATCGGGGTCAGACCCGGGGTCAGCACCGGGATCGGGGGGGGAACATCCCGGGATCGGGGGGAGCACCCCGGGATCGGGATCAGAGCCGGGATCAGCCCCGGGACCGGGGGGAGAGGGGGACACCCCGGGATCGGGATCAGCACCGGGACCGGAGGGTGGGGTCAGCACCGGGATCAGAGCCGGGATCAGAGCCGGGATCAGCCCTGGGATCAGCACCGGGACCGGGGGTCAACACCGGGATCAGCCCCGGGATCGGGGTCACACCCGGGATCGGGGGGAGCACCCCGGGATCGGAGCCAGACCCGGGATCAGCACCGGGATCAGCACCGGGATCGGGGGGTGGGGGGGGATCGGGGGCAGCCCCGGGATCGGGATCAGACTCGGGATCAGGGGGGAAACATTCCGGGATGGCGAACATCCCGGGATCAGCACCGGGATCGGGAGGATCGGGGATCGGGATCAGCACAGGGAATGGGGGGGATCAACCCCGGGATCGGGATCAGCCCCGGGATCAGTCCCGGGATCGGGGGGAGAGGGGGACACGCCGGGATCCGGATCAGCACCGGGATGGGGAGGGAACATCCCCGGATCGGGGGGAGACAACCGGGATCGGGGTCAGCCCCGGGATCGGGATCAGACTCGGGATCAGTCCCGGGCAGGGGCGGAGAGTGGTACACGCCGGGATCCGGATCAGCACCGGGATGGGGAGGGAACATCCCCGGATCGGGGGGAGACAACCGGGATCGGGGTCAGCCCCGGGGATATCGGGATCAGCGCCGGGAATGGGGGAAGGAAAGCCCCGGGATCGGGATCAGCTCCGGGATCGGGGGGACACCCCGGGATCGGGATCAGCCCCCGGATCAGCCCCGGGAATGGGGGGAACACGCCGGGATCGGGGTCAGCCCCAGGATCGGGATCAGCCCCCGGATCAGCCCCCGGATCAGCCCCGGGAATGGGGGGAACACGCCGGGATCGGGGTCAGCCCCAGGATCGGGATCAGCCCCCGGATCAGCCCCCGGATCAGCCCCGGGAATGGGGGGAACACGCCGGGATCGGGGTCAGCCCCAGGATCGGGATCAGCCCCCGGATCAGCCCCCGGATCAGCCCCGGGAATGGGGGGAACACGCCGGGATCGGGATCAGCCCCGGGATCGGGGGGACCCCCCGGGATGTCCCCGAAGGGGGATTTGGGGACAGCAAAAAGCGCGGGGTTGGTCCCACCCACCCCCAACTTCACCTGGGGACCCTAAACCCGCACCCGGGTCCCGGCTCGGGGGGGTTTGGGGAGCCCAAATCTGCCCCTCCAACAGCGGCCGGACCGGGACCGGACACCGGGACCACCCGGACCGGACACCGGGACCACCGGGACCACCGGGACCACCCGGACCGGACACCGGGACCAGTATCGCTCCCGGTGCCGCGCGGGGCGGGGTCGCGGCTGTTTTTGGGTGTCGGTCCCGGGCCGGGCCGGGCTGGGAGCGGAGGAGGAGCGGGAGGAAGGGGAGGACGAAGAAGAGGAGGAGGAAGAAGAGGAGGAAGAAGAGGAGGAGTTAAAGGAGGAGGAAGAGGAGGAAGAGGAGGAAGAAGAGGAGGAAGAAGAGCAGGAGTTAAAGGAGGAGGAAGAAGAGGAGGAGGAAGAAGAGGAGGAAGAAGAGGAGGAGTTAAAGGAGGAGGAAGAGGAGGAAGAGGAGGAAGAAGAGGAGGAAGAAGAGCAGGAGTTAAAGGAGGAGGAAGAGGAGGAAGAAGAGGAGGAAGAAGAGGAGGAGTTAAAGGAGGAGGAAGAGGAGGAGCAGCCTCTCCACGCGGTTCCCCCGCAGGGGAGCGGGACGGGAGCGCTCGCCCCGAGCTCAGCGCGGGGGGTTCGGGAGGGGTTTCTTTGCGGGCCAGGGGAAGTTCGGGGCTCGCAGGAGCCCAAAGCCGAGCCGGGAGCGGCCCCGGGGGGATCTCGGGGGGTCCCCGGGGGGATCCCGGGGGGATCTCGGGGGGATCTCATGCCCCTTCCCTCCGGCACGGAGGCAAATCCCATCCTCTGCTCGTCCCTCCTGCCCCAGAGCCGAGCATGGAGAGCGGGGAGGACAAATCCCCGCGGCAGAACCTTCTGGAAGAGCCCCTTGGGAGCGGCTCCACAGCCCAGGGATGCGGCGGGGAGGAGAAGGCTCGGAGATCCCGGCCGAGGAGCGGCTGCGATTCCCGGGGGTCCCGGGGGGAAGGAGGCAGCCCGGGCCGGGGAGGGAGCTCGGAGAAGCCCCACAAGTGCTCGGAATGCGGGAAGAGCTTCACCAAGAGATTCCTGCTGAGCTCCCACCGGAGAATCCACAGCGGGGAGAGACCCCACGAGTGCGGGGAGTGCGGGAAGAGCTTCAGGACGAGCTCGGGGCTGAGCGAGCACCGCAGGATCCACACGGGGGAGAGACCCCACGAGTGCGAGAAATGCCACAAGAGGTTCCAAACCCGCTCCTCGCTCCTCCTGCACCGCAGGATCCACACGGACGAGAGACCCTTCCCCTGCCCCGAGTGCGGGAAGAGCTTCAAGCGGAATTTCCACCTGACCGTGCACCGGCGGATCCACAGCGGGGAGAGGCCCTTCGAGTGCCATCAGTGCCCCAAGAGCTTCCACACCAGCTCCTCGCTCCTCGTGCACCTCCGCACCCACACGGACGAGAGGCCCTTCCGCTGCTCCGAGTGCCACAGGGGCTTCAACCAGAAATCCGCCCTGGTCACTCACCTGAGGATCCACAGCGGGGAGAAACCGTTCGCGTGTCCCCAGTGCGGGAAGAGGTTCAGGACGAGCTACGAGGTGACCACGCACCGGAAAATCCACAGCAGGGAGAGGCTCCAGGAGGGTCCTGAGTGCGGGAAGAGCTTCAGGAGCAGCTCCGACCTCATCTCCCACCAGAGGATCCACAGCGGGGAGAAGCTCCATGACGAGGAGAAGCCCCATGACGAGGAGAAGCTCCATGACGAGGAGAAGCTCCATGACGAGGAGAAGCTCCATGAGGAGGAGAAGCTCCATGACGAGGAGAAGCTCCATGAGGAGGAGAAGCTCCATGATGAGGAGAGGCTCCATGAGGAGGAGAAGCTCCATGAGGAGGAGAAGCTCCATGACGAGGAGAAGCTCCATGAGGAGGAGAAGCTCCATGACGAGGAGAAGCTCCAGGATTGTCCTGAGTGCGGGAAGAGCTTCAGGAACAGCTCCGACCTCATCACCCACCGGAGGATCCACAGCGGGGAGAAGCCCCAGGAGTGTCCCCAGTGCGGGAAGAGCTTCAGGCGAATCTCCAACCTCATCTCTCACCGGAGGATCCACAGCGGGGAGAAGCCGTACAAGTGTGAGAAATGCGGGAAGAGCTTTCGGCTCGTGTCCCTTCTCTTCAAGCATTTTCGGAGCCACAGGGAGGAGAGGCCTTTCCGCTGCCCCCAGTGCGGGAAGGGATTCAAGCGCAAGTGCACCCTCAGCGTCCACCAGCGCTTCCACGGCGAGGAGAGACCCCACGGGTGCGAGA